AACCCAACTGCCTGTTACACAATGGGTTAACCTATTCTATATGAGGATTTAAACGTTTAAGATGACAGTTTAACCTTTTGAAGATGAGAGTTAACATTTTGAGGACGATGGTTTAACTACTTTAGGCATATCGTTTAACTCTTTGAGGACTATGGCTTTAGCCCTCAGAGAAAGATGATTTAACGCCTTGAAGACGATGATTTAACTCTTTAAGGACGATGATCTAGCACCTTCAGGACGATGATCCAACTCCCGAGGACGATGATCTAGCTCGAGGACGATGATCTTACTCCTTGAGGACGATGTTCTGACTCCTTGAGGACGAGGATTTGACTCCTTGAGGACGATGATCTGATTCCTTGAGGACGATGATCTGACTCATTGAGGACGAGGATTTGACTCCTTGAGGACGGTGAACTCACTCCTTTGAGGGACGATGATCTAACTCCTTGAGGACGGTATTTAACTTTCTGAGTCATTAACTATACTGTAACTACAGTCTTTTTTTCGTTTATTACCAGTATCATCTTTTTTTATCTTCAGAGAACAGGTATGGTTTGTAGGGAAGACTATGGTCACAAGATGGCGCTGGCCATCAGTCAGTCTGGGGTATAACTGGCCGGTCTTAGTAACTAGTATGTGGAGCGTGATTGGTCCGTCGGAGGAAAATCTGGTATGCTCCAGAGTCAGTTACGGAGCTGTGAAGTCAACATCTGGTCTCCTGTCTCCTAAACCTTAAGGGTCGAGTGTTAGTGTACTCTTATTGGTCCAGAGTTATTATAGTTTATATGGTGATGTTTAGGATTTAGTGATTATATATTATAGTGTAATAGTTAGGATTTATTGTTCATTTATTATTACTTGAGTTTTCTGATTTCTTTTGTTGTATTATATTTTATGGGCAATTATGTCATCAGCTTTAGTTATTGTTGTAAATAAATAGAAAGATTGAACCTTTAAGGTAATTTTCCTTATTAAACGGGTTGTAGAATTTGTTATGGGAGGGGAGAGTTAGAAACTCGCATTGTATCGTAACAGGTATGGTATGGAGAACAAGTACGGTATTGAAACAATAGAAAATTTTTACATATACTGTATATATAAAAAAAAATCATATAACCTTTATCACTGCATACAAAAATATGCATCAGTAGCGCTGAATTCCAATTCTTCTACAGAGAGAGAGAGAATTGTCATGGTGGTGGTCCTGAGGAGGTTGCCATGGTGGGGTCCTGAGTGAGTGTTGCCATGGTGGTGGTCTTCAGTGTGTGTTGTCATGGTGGGGTCCTCAGTGTGAGTGTTGCCATGGTGGTGGTCCTCATTGAGTGTTGTCATGGTGGGGGTCCTGAGTGAGTGTTGCCATGGTGGGGGTCCTAGAGTGTTGCAGGTGGTCCTCATTGAGTGTTGTCATGGTGGTGGTCCTGAGTGAGGCGTCGTGGTCCTGAGTGAGTGTTATGGTCGTGGTCCTGAGTGAGGTTGTCGTGTGGTGGGTCCTGAGTGAGTGTTGTCATGGTGGTGGTCCTAGTGAGTGTTGTCGTTATGGTGGTCCTGGAGTGAGTGTTGCTATGGTGGTGGTCCTGAGGAGTGTTGCTGTGGTGGTCCTGAGTGAGTGTTGCCAGTGGTGGTCCTGAGGAGTGTTGTCATGGTGGTGGTGGTCCTGAGTGAGTGTTGCCATGGTGGTGGTCCTGAGGTGTTGGTCATGGTGGTGGTCCTGAGTGAGTGTTGCCTGGTGGGGGTCCTGATTGAGTGTTGCCGTGGTGGTGGTGGTGGGCTCTGAGGAGTGTTGCCATGGTGGTGTCCTGAGGAGTGTCGGTGGTGGTCCTGAGTGAGTGCTGTGTGGTGGTCCTGAGTGAGTGTTGCCATGGTGGTGGTTCCTAGTGAGTGTTGTCGTGGTGGTGGTCCTGTGGAGGTTGTGGTGGTCCTGAGTGAGTGTTGCCATGGTGGTGGTCCCCATTGAGTGTTGTCGGTGGTGGTCCTGAGTGAGTGTTATGGTGGGTCCTCAGGAGTGTTGGTCATGGTGGTGGTGCCTGTGAGGAGTGTTGTCGGTGGGTCCTCAGTGAGTGTTGTGGGTGGTCCTCAGTGAGTGTTGTCATGGTGGTGGTCCTAGGAGGAGTGTTGTCGGTGTGGTCCCCAGTGAGTGTTGTGGTGGTCCCAGTGAGTGCCAGTGGTGGTTCCCATTGAGTGTTGCGGTGGTGGTCCTGAGTGAGTGTTGTGGTGGTCCTCAGTGAGTGTTGTCATGGTGGTGGTGCTCTGCATGAGTGTTGTCGTGGTGGTCCCAGTGAGTGTTGTGGTGGTGGTCCTCAGTGAGTGTTGTGGTGGTGGTGGTCCTCAGTGTGTTGTCATGGTGGTGGTCCCAGTGAGAGTTGTCGTGGTGGGGGTCCCGTGAGTGGAGTGTCATGGTGGTGGTCCTGTGAGTGTTGTGGTGGTGGTGGGTGGTCCTGAGTGAGTGTTGGTGGTGGTGGTCCTGTGTGAGTGTTGCCATGGTGGTGGTCCTGTGAGAGTTGCCGTGGTGGTGGGGTCCTCAGTGAGTGTTGTCATGGTGTTGGTCCTGGAGTGGTGTTGTCGGTGGTGGGTCCTGAGTGAGTGTTGTGGTGGTGGTGGTCCTCAGTGAGGGTTGCAGTGTTGGTTCCCAGGAGTGTTGTCATGGTGTTGTCCGAGGAGGTTGTGGTGGTGGTCCTCAGTGAGTGTTGGTCATGGTGTTGGTCCTGAGTGAGTGTTGTCATGGTGTTGGTCCTGAGGAGTGTTGTGGTGTGGTGGTCCTCAGTGAGTGTTGTGGTGGTGGTCCTCAATGAGTGTTGCTCATGGTGGTGGTCCTGAGTGAGTGTGCAGGTGGTGGTGGTGGTCCCAGTGAGTGTTGTCATGGTGTTGGTCCTGAGTGAGGTTGTGGTGGTGGTGGTCCTCAGTGAGTGTTGTCATGGTGTTGGTCCTGAGTGAGTGTTGTGGTGGTGGTGGTCCTGAGTGAGTGTTTGCATGGTTGGTCCCTGAGTGAGTGTTGTCATGGTGTTGGTCCGAGGAGTGCTGGTGGTGGTCCTCAGTGAGTGTTGTGGTGGTGGTCCTCAGTGAGTGTTGTCATGGTGGTGGTCCTGAGGAGGTTGTGGGTGGTGGTGGTTCCCAGTGAGGTTGTCATGGTGTTGTCCTGGAGTGAGGTTGTGGTGGTGGTGGTCCCCAGTGAGTGTTGTCATGGTGGTGGTCCTCAGTGAGTGTCATGGTGGTGGTCCTGAGGAGTGTTGTGGGTGGTCCTGAGTGAGTGTTGTCATGGTGGTGGTCCTGGAGTGGAGTGTTGTGGTGGTGGTGGTGGTCCCCAGTGAGTGTTGTCATGGTGTTGGTCCTGAGTGGTGTTGTCAGGTGGTGGTGGTCCCCAGTGAGTGTTGTCAGGTTGTCCTGAGGAGTGTTGTCGTGGTGGTGGTCCCCAGTGAGTGTTGTCATGGTGTTGGTCCTGAGGAGTGTTGGGTGGTGGTGGTCCTCAGTGAGTGTTGTCATGGTGGTGGTCCTGAGTGAGGTTGTGGTGGTGGTGGTGGTCCTAAGTGAGTGTTGTCATGGTGTTGGTCCTGAGGAGTGTTGTGGTGGTGGTGGTCCCCAGTGAGTGTTGTCATGGTGTTGGTCCTGAGGAGTGTTGTGGTGGTGGTGGTCCTCAGTGAGTGTGGTCATGGTGGTGGTCCTGGAGGAGTGTTGTGGGTGGTGGTCCTGTGAGGTTGTCATGGTGTTGGTCCTGGAGGAGTGTTGTGGGTGGTGGTGGTCTCCAGTGAGTGTTGTCATGGTGTTGGTCCTGAGTGAGTGTTGTGGTGTGGTGGTGGTCCTCAGTGAGTGTTGTCATGGTGGTGGTCCTCAGTGAGTGTTGTGGTGGTGGTGGTCCTCAGTGAGTGTTGTGGTGGTGTTGGTCCTGAGTGAGTGTTGTGGTGGTGGTGGGGGTCCTCAGTGATTGATTTGGCTTACAGCACTTTTATTGTGCACCCCACACTCCTCCGGTGAGCGGTAACGCAAAAGGATTACAGAGTAGAGTTTACAACGGGTCATAATCATTAACCCACGTTGTCAGGATGTTACGGCACTGAATGTTACACAGTATTTCAATTACATTATTTGTTTAGTTCTATACATAAAGGGTAACTTATTCACAAATGCGTGAGTACAGGCGTGTGAGACAGTATGTCTGGCCTCACACTTTGTTATTCACATTTACATGAGAAGTATTCAAGCACATTTTGTATTTGGTTCTGTACATGTGAACTGATATACAGTAGTTACTAAGTGCAAAAAAGTGGATACAATCTTAATATGTCGGCTATCTTGCCATTAGAGATTTAGTGTTGTGCCATTTCACACACAGTGTGCTTGGACCTGTCCCTAAAAGGTTCTATCTTCACACAGTCGAGGACGTAGTTAAGTGTGTGGCCATATGTCTGGCCACACACTTTACATTTAGACTTCTTTACATCTGCTTGAGGAGCATACTGCCAGAGGTACTTATATCCTAACCTTGATCTAGCGGTTACAAAATCTAGTGATCTTGTTACTTGAGGTGTTCTAATTTGTCTGTAACCCTTATCCACCCTCCTGACCCTAGCCCTGAGTTTTTCAGCTCAGGGTCATTATAGAACTGCTGTTGCCTGTTCCCATTATGCTGACCACGTTTTCTCCTTTTTTTGGTGGAGGCATTGTTGGTGAAGTATGCATAAGTCCTATCTATCAGATCGTCATGGAAACTTTGGTAGTTGTCAGGCTTGTAGTCCTTGTACCATCTGGGGATGAAGTCTATGAACTGGCTTTCATGTTCTTGCTTGACTGTGATTCTACGTCTGTTGAGTTTACCACCAGTGGGGGTGTCATTGGCTACATGTATACTACCTGGGAGTCACGGGGGTGTGGTGTTCGCCGTGGTAGGCAGGTCGGTGATGGCGCGTATATGCCAACACTATGTCGCTCTCCTAGTCTGGCTTGCTTCGCCCTGACAGAAACTCACTATATGAGGTTAAGATATTCAAATGAAATTTTTTACGATGTGAAACACTAACATTTATACATAACGGCTTCCATAATGAACTCCCTCGCTCAAGTATCATATCAGTATTTTTATTTAATTCTTGTAGTCTTCAAGTAAATTAGAGGAAGGTTCTTCATTCTCAGTACTTATTTACTGGTGGTCTACTTCTCCATCTTCATAATGTTTATTGTTCATGAATACTAGAGTGTGCAGTCTCATGGGTCTCAGTACCGGTGAACGTTGTCACGGGATCTGGCGAAGAGGCCGTGGAACTCCTTGGTGACGACTCCGTGTGTCTTGAAGGTCGCCAAAGCGAGCTGCTGAAGTCTTGGCGTCGAGAACCACCAACCGTACCTGTCCAGGGAGAAGAGATATATTAATATGCATTTACATGCTAGTGAAATCGTCTTTATCAGCCTCACCTTTGTTGTATTTGTACTGTTGATCACTCTTCTAGTGACTCTTCACGACAGAGTGCGAAAAGATTTAATGTTTCAGTTGCATGAACCATGATACTCGTACACTAACCCTTATGTTGGCAGGGACGTCATTTCGTGGTCACAAACTAAATGTGAAGCAGCAAAATCCCACCAATTACCCACTCCAAACCCCACTTTATACATATTCCTTTAAATATACCAGTCGAAAATGTTTCGTGACCCAAGGTGTCCGAAATATGAAATCTCTGGCGAAGACCAACCCAACCGATACATGAATGCGTTAGAGGTAATCGCTCCTTTTCTACCCCACCAGACCTTGAGGTCTCTATAATTTGGGAATTGGCAACATCGACAGGATATGATAAATTTTGCGTATGCTACAATTAAGTAGGTACTATTTCCTTGAGTATTTGATTAGCTACAACTTGCAGATCATTACACCGTTAACTGTTACTCTTCTTTCCCCTGTAAGTAATCCAATTGTCTCCAAGTTGAATAAAAGGAATATAATTCATACCCTTTAATCAGCTTTTCACGGCCTTCCTGCATAGCTCCTCTTTTCCCAGACTCTTAAGGAATCCTTCGTATTTCACTGTTACTTTGTGTAAATACTGTACAGTACTTCTCCCTGCCTTCCTTACTTTTTTCGTTGATGAGAGACGCGAGGACAACGCCGTCATCCTCCTCGGTGGCACCTGGACGCTCGACGAAGATAGGTTCTGACACCTGGAAGCCCGGCCCCTCCCACCTGAGAACCTCCTTACTCTCGGTGTCCACCTTACACAACTGCGTCAAGAAAACTAAAAGCGTCATTCGAAGAAACTCCTGGACGGAACAGAGATTTCAAGTAAGGATAAACACTGACACAATAGTTACAACAGACACAAAATTAAGCATTGCTGAGTCTGACTTTAATTTGGGTAACGACAAGACCATGATATAACTTAGTAATTTAAAGTCAGGATAGATTTGAGAGCGAAATAATATCCAGCAGAAGATTGACGCGGCTTCCAAAAAAAAAATGAAAATATATTGTCTGTAAAAATCGGAGACCTCACTGTACTAAACGGGGAATTAAACAAAATCAACACGACCTCAAAATTTTTGTTAAAGAATGGTCTCTAACTTAACCTAACCTAACCTAACCACCAGGGTTTGGGTGTCTTAGATCTAGGAGTCCGTCTACCCAGTCACCAAAGAGTTACAACATACAGTGCCACAGTTGATTCCCACGGTAGGGATGAAACCGTAGATGTACCGATACTTCTTGCCGTTAAGTCTGTAGTTGATCCTGGGCATCTCCATCCAGGCAGGCGACAGATCCTCCGGCACACATTGGATAGCACCGGTATTCAGTTTGAAGGCTTGACATTTGGTGTCTCTCAGCGCCACCAGATTTCTGTCCACACTTGCTTGCTGTGGGGGTGAGATACACGTACTTCCAATTAATTCAAGCATCGAGTCTGAAGACGATTTTTTATTTTGCCATTCTTCGCGCATAAAGGATAATATTTTGTTATTTAGTTTTGTCCATTGCCACTGTAATAGCACACGGACCAAACTTGCATATGACAAAAGCACTACTTTATATAACGGAGTGGAGGCTCATTATTCTCTACATCGAACATGTAAACTCGGGTTTGAATTGGTCGACTGGATTAGTAATAGGTTGTTTATGTAATACATACTTACAAGTTTTATTATGATTGCATTAAATGTGCGCGTGTCATGTCGTGTCTTGATGTTGCTTAATCCTTTGAGTAAATACCTTTATTTGATTATATATATATTTACATGTAAATGTCTATGTATTATCATCCTTATGTATACTGGCAGAGGAAAATAGTCTGGGAAGTGTTCATTGAGCAGTATAAATCATAAGACGGAAGTATTTGATGATGACGCTCTTCACACTCACCGAGACATCGAGGGCGACGAAGCGACGTGGCATGGCTTGTAGAGACTTGTTGAAAGCCTCTGTAGGGTTCACGATGTTCTCTAGCCAAATCTGATTCACCACCTGGCGAGCACAAAACAACACACCATCCATGAATTATTTGTTATATTATGGAGTCACAGTTAGTGATTTAGATTACAATACGTTGCTTTGTTATTGATTTATGTTATTACGATCGTGTAGTATCGATGTGGAGAAAGATCTAGTAATAAAGCATAACATCTTGTTAATAGATAGTAACAGTGAATAATGTAGATTATTTTAGGGTTTTTTTACCGGTTGATACTTTATATGAACTATATACTATAGGTATATGGAAAAATCTGAAAATATGGGAGTATAAGTTAATATGGTAAATTAATTTCAAATAGATGAGAGAGATGTGAGATATGAGAGAGAGAGAGAGATCAAGGACAAAAAGAAAGACAAAATAAGAGACAGGATGAAAGACAGACCGGGTCAACAGACAGAGATCGACTGAAGGGTAACTCACACTTCCATCGTCGAAGCAGCAGAGGTCGACGATCAAATGGCCGTCCTCCTCGTAGGCGTTGATGGCGTGGAAGGTGAAGAAGGTGTCGGCCTGGTACACGGTCTTCACCACAACGCCATCACTACGGCGTACCACACGGAACCTAGTCTGAGCAACACACCATACAGGTGATTTACAGTTGGGGTTAAGTGAGGACCTCTAGTGAAAACATTAAATAAATGAATCGACTCGAGAAACCAATACAACAGCAATTTCCAAAAGCCATTCTCTCTTCAAGAATATTTTGTTACATTAAAGCAACCAGAATACAATTGCTGCACAAACCACAACGCTCAGTGTGCTGAGCTTTAATTTATTTTTTCTAAGCAGTGAAGTGTTGGTATGCACTTGAAAATATGAACAAGGTTTAAATGAGAAGGAATTTTTAGAGAACATGTGGATATTAATGGCAATATATCATTAGACTAATACCCAAGAACAAGCACGAGAGGAATAAAAACTACGTTCTTGTGACTCATGACATATTAATGTCAGACATACACTTACCTTCTCTTTGGGTAACCACTCCATGGACTGCATGAAAGACTTCTTTGTATAGTGGCCAGTAAGGAGCTTAGGTAGAGATATGCCCAGCGGCTGCTCCACCAAGATGAAGTAGTTGTCTGTGATAGAGTAAGAGTGGTAGTAACAAGGCTTCATCTTCCAGCGGCACGGGATAGACGCTACTACTGAAGCCTGGTCGAAGGGTGTCAGTACCTCACCTATTGGTCAGAAGGAGAAAGAAATGGTCATGACCATCATCATGTTTGTTGAGAAGAAATGCCCCGGTTTATCGACTGGGGCATACTCCAGTCCAAAGACAAAAGGCATAATTCTCTGGCAGATAAGTTGGAACTCCGTAACACACCTGATGATTAAACCCCTTTAGGTTAGGATAGATTAGGGTAAGTTAAGTTAGCGTTCGGGTGGTTAATCTTAAGGTGAAATAAAATGGGGAGGTAATCTTCAGGTTATCCAATTGATAACTATTTAACGGATAACGATTGATAAAATGATCTGGACACCTACCATTGGGAAGTGTCTTCTTAGGGGGAAACTTGACAATGTTATAGGTGGGGCCCTTGGCACTCGTGTAGGAGTTACCCATATTATATACGGTGCCATCAGGATCTACGTGTGGGTGAGCCGTGGCCATGTTCACCGCCACGTACCTAGTGACGTTTGTCTGTAATATGAAGAAAGCATATATCAATAGGAGGCTTGAATGAGGGATGCAGCGATAGTAGTTAAATTAATTCTCTCTCTCACCTTTTCGCCAATGGTCTTGAGGTCGTCTGGGCTGACTCTCCGCATCTTGTTCGTCTCGGTCATGGCAAACAGTTGGTCTCCAAAGAAGCAGACATTGACGGCGCAGTTGTCTGTGGTATCTTCAAAATCAGGGAGGGAAAACCGACTCATAAATCTATAGGAAGAAGGAGAATTTATAAGTGTGGGTGTATATAGCTCTTGGTGTATAGAAGTATATATATATATATATATATATATATATATATATATATATATATATATATATTAATTTGTCTTTATTAAAGACATCTTGAGAGGCTTCTGAAGATGTCTTAATAAAGACGAAAGCTAAGGTACTCCGTTGTTTCCCTTTTCCCGTGTGAGTTTATCAAGATTTATCTTATCCACGTTTTCATTGTGGATCTACATGATATATATATATATATATATATATATATATATATATATATATATATATATATATATATATATATACACACTAGCAGAATCGCGCTCATCCGCTAGGCAACGGTAGGACGCCACCCTCCGGGATGCTCCACATTGTCTCACTGTTCAGTCCTCAAAACTACTTCTTCCATCAATAGTTCATTAACGGTGTATGCAAGTTCCACCATGTTTTTCACTACAAAGGTACAGCAAAGTATATTTTTTTAGCATTAAACTGTTATTTTATTGTCTAATCATCACTACATATAACACCACCCATCATCACTACATATAACATCATCCATCATCACTACATATAACACCACCCATCATCACTACATATAACACCACCCATCATCACTACATATAACACCACCCATCATCACTACATATAACACCACCCATCATCACTACATATATCACCACCCATCATCACTACATATAACACCACCCATCATCACTACATATAACACCACCCATCATCACTACATATAACACCACCCATCATCACTACATATAACACCACCCATCATCATTACATATATCATCATTCATCACCACTACATATAACACCATCCATCATCACTACATATAACACCATCCATCATCACTACATATAACACCACCCATCATCACTACATATAACACCACCCATCATCACTACATATAACACCACCCATCATCATTACATATATCATCATTCATCACCACTACATATAACACCATCCATCATCACTACATATAACACCATCCATTATCACTACATATAACACCACCCATCATCACTACATATAACACCACCCATCATCACTACATATAACATCATCCATCATCACTACACATAACACCATCCATTAACACTACATATAACACCATCCATTAACACTACATATAACATCATCCATCATCACTACCTATAACACCATCCATCATCATCACTACATATAACACCACCCATCATCACTACATATAACACCATCCATCATCACTACATCTAACACCACCCATCATCACTACATATAACACCATCCATCATCACTACATATAACACCATCCATCATCACTACATATAACACCATCCATCATCATCACTACATATAGCACCATCCATCATCACTACATATAACAGCACCCATCATCACTACATATAACAACATCCATCATCACTACATATAACATCATCCATCATCACTACATATAGCACCATCCATCATCATCACTACATATAGCACCATCCATCATCACTACATATAACACCACCCATCATCACTACATATAACACCATCCATCATCATCACTACATATAACACCACCCATCATCACTACACATCGGTAAACTAGTTTCCGAGATTTCCGTGCGGAACACAGACATACTTCATTGTTTTATATATATATATATATATATATATATATATATATATATATATATATATATATATATATATATATATATATATGCAAGTAAATCACTGTGGGTGCGCGTGATCCAGGTATATGCTAATAACCTGAAGATGTGAATTACACGAAAGCGCTTGGGAACTTAGTGTTTTCTTCTTTCCTTGTGGTTATCAGCATATACCTCCTGGATCACGCGCAACTACAGTGATTTACTTGCATATATATATATAAAACTGCGTGTGTACATATGCAATTTTCCCCATATACAGTAGTTATCGAAAACTTATTTCTAGGTTTTAAATGATTATACTGTATATTTAAAACTGGCCATTCTTTTTCGACCACTAAAAAAACACACATGGTCGGACAATTTAATCTAAACGCCTTAATAATTGGTCTCTCTATAATAAGTAAACACATTGCCAATTGCCTTACTTCTGCAAAATAGTCTTGCAGGGGTCCGGGTACGCCCTAGTGCCGAATTCGTTCACCACAATGCGGTTCGCTGCCGAGTTCTTCTTGTAGGAGTCGCTCTCCAGGATACGTGAGCGATATGTCGTCTCTCCGCCCTGCCACGACAAGGGAACAACAAAAGTCGTGAATCATAGTTTAAAATATATAAAATGTATGTTTTTTGTATGTTAGTCATACTTTTGTGTATATTCATCTTCTTTGCTATTGTTAAGCTGCAGTAAGGGAAAACATTAGTCTTTGCTGCTATAATCATCAGTATTATAACTATAAGTGTTACCATCTTTGCTGTAGCCATTGATATATAAGTAGTATTAGTATAATGTATTATAAGTAATATACTCACTTTGATGGAGAACTTGTGGAGGACGGCCATACCATCGAATATGTGATGGTACCAAGTGTCCCCGATGTTCAGTACTCCAGGACCGTCACGATACAGGTCCCCCTCCAGCCACTGAGGGATGATTCCTGCGAGGCAATACGATGAGATAAGCAAAACACACACATTCGTCTGCCTATTGTTATTAAACTAAACGTAATAAAATTAACAGAGACGACGACGAAGACTAAGTCATGGTGGTAACAAATAAGTCTTAATTTTCTTCGACAACATGCGAATCTTGACCACAGACGGCCGAAAAAAATAAATTGGATTTTTCCCGTCGCCTTTACATAGATTCTCGAATTGATGTTTGGGTTCTAAAAAGAAGAAAAAAATATTGTAAAATATCCACATACTACCTCCTTTCGTTTTACAGACATGTTGACACATATGTGATGATATCTGGATTGTGAAAAGTTAATTAAAGTTTAACCAGGTTGACAATCAAATTAAATATTTTAACAAATTCGTAGGAATGGGCTTTGCAATCCGAAACGAGGGAATAGCGATTTCGTATAATAAGTTTCCACAAGGGCATTTGACATTACCTGAACACTTAAGTGTTTTGAGCCGAGAATACATAAAATTGTACTCAAACGATTTCACTAAAATATTTTAATGATAAGACAATATCTTTCATCAGCGTCAACACCCCTTCATTTTTCACTACACACCACTGAGCCAAAAGCTCCAACTATTTTGCTTTTCCTAACAAATCGGAAAATTCTTTATATTTAGGTACTAAGACCATTTGACAAGAGTACTGTATTATTCCGTTTCTTTTGGGTCACCTCACAACAGAGGACAGAAGTTTGCTCGGGTTTACCAGGAGTTACAGTTTCCATAAAATGTTTAGCGCCTTTGGTAATGTATAAATGAAATTCTCATTAAATTATTTTCCTAAAAGAACAAGGCCCCGTGTTTACTCTAGACAAGAGACTCCAGGGTTTACACGGTCATGGAGACGTCTCTGGGGAACACAAATATTGACACTCACCGTCCACATTTCCTTTCACGGGCGTGGTTGTGGCCTTGTCTGTAGATCTGATCCACACCCGGCGTGACTCTTCAATGGACTCTTCCTTCATCTTTTGAACTAGATGTTTACAGCTCTTGTAAGTGGTGTTTATGTTCAATCCGTTAGCAGTGTGTTTCGACAGTCCTGTTTCTACAGACATGGTGAATTGAGCTAACCGAGGGAACTGGTACTGTAACGGTAACTGGTGAAGTGACAACCTGTCAGCTGAGACAACAGTGTAGAAGTGTAACGACGTTGACAAACGGCTGCTGCTTTATATAAGAGAGGCAACTGTAGGATGCATATCTTTGGGTTATCACAATGTTTTATAACCACCGACATGAGTAAAGGCTTTTGATACACATATCATACCCATTTAACTACTGCTTATCAGTGAAGGTATAAGGTCACGCGACCTCACAGCACACGAGTGGTTAGTGTTGAGGTAAACTTGGCTTATGTAATGTTTAAAAAAAGTGCCCAATAGCACGACGCTCACCCGTGACTGACCTGGTAGTGACGTAACTTTATGCTAATCAGGAGACGATCACCATAATAACTATTCATTTAAATTTTCCCGACTGTCACCATATTCCGATGAACTATATCAAAACTGACTTTCCAGTACTAATGGTACTGATTTTAACACTTACTGATATAAATCACACTCGCCTTCTCATTTCACCAGTAGCCAGGATACACCGTACATAAGTCCTGCAGTACAAATACAGTTCAAATGGTGAATTACAGTATAGTGGATTACAATATAGCGAATGCATTAACAATTTAAAGTATAATTGTTAATACAGAGAATTTTCTGGTAGTCGCCTTGGAACCGGCTGCAGTGTCTGCCAATGAACACCACTGTCTGATGCCGCGGTGTTCACCCCCACAAATCGCAACACGGGAGCAATCCACAAAGACACCAATTTCAGACCATAGGCACAGACTCTAGGTGTAGAGTATATACTAATTACTCAAAACGCAGCCACGACTATTCAGCAACACAAACAGGGCTCAGGGCGGAGGACTCGGGCACACCCCAAAACGAAACTTGCTCTCCCCACTCTCTTCCCTGTGGGGTAAACTTTACATTAGTTTAAAAACACATTTTCGAAGCCCCACAAAGCTCCAAACCCTCTGAACCTAGCTATGAAAGCATTCTCCACTTGTTTTATAGTGGAACACAAGTGATCGTGGGCCCTTCATGCCCGGTGGCAAGTCCGGTGGTACAGTTAACGCTCGTGCTTGGCTAGCGCAACCGCCGTCCAGCTGACAGCGTTACAGCGACATCGTTTTCCAGATGGTCGTGGTTGTTATAATGATGGTCGTGAGTGTTATAATGATGGTCGTGGTTGTTATAATCATATTCGTGGTTGTTATAACCATAGTCGTGGTTATGATCATAGTCGTGGTTGTTATAATCATGGTCGTGAGTGTTATAATCATGGTCGTGGTCGTTATAATCATATTCGTGGTTGTTTTAATCATGGTCGTGGTTCTTATAATCATGGTCGTGGTTGTTATAATCATAGTCGTGGTTGTTAATCATGGTCGTGGTTGTTATAATCATAGTGGTGAGTGTTTTAATCATGGTCGTGGTTGTTATAATCATAGTCGTGGTTGTTAATCATGGTCGTGGTTGTTATAATCATAGTCGTGGTTGTTATAATCATGGTGGTGAGTGTTTTAACTGTGGTCGTGGTTGTTATAATCATAGTCGTGGTTGTTAATCATAGTCGTGGTTGTTATAATCATGGTGGTGAGTGTTTTAATCTTAGTCGTGGTTGTTAATCATGGTCGTGGTTGTTATAATCATGGTGGTGAGTGTATTAATCATGGTCGTGGTTGTTATAATCATAGTCGTGGTTGTTAATCATGGTCGTGGTTGTTATAATCATGGTGGTGAGTGTTTTAATCATGGTCGTGGTTGTTATAACCATGGTCGTGGTTATTATAATTATGGTCGTGAGTGTTATAATCATAGTCGTGGTTGTTAATCATGGTCGTGGTTGTTATAATCATATTCGTGGTTGTTATAATCGTGGTCATGATTGTTATAATCATGGTCGTGGTTGTTATAATCATGGTCGTGGTTGTTATAATCATGGTCGTGGTTATTATATTCATGGTCGTGGTTGTTATAATCATAGTCGTGGTTATGATCATAATCGTGGTTATTCATAGTCGTTGTTATAATCATGGTGGTGTGTGTTTTAATCATGGTCGTGGTTGTTATAATCATGGTCGTGGTCGTTATAATCATGGTCGTGATTGTCATCATCATGGTCGTGGTTGTTATAATCATAGTCGTGGTTGTTATAATCATAGTCGTGGTTGTTATATTCATGGTCGTCCTTGTTATATTCATGGTCGTCCTTGTTATAATCATGGTGGTGTGTGTTTTAATCATGGTCGTTATAATCATGGTCGTGGTCGTTATAATCATGGTCGTGATTGTTATCATCGTCGTGATTGTTATCATCATGGTCGTGGTTGTTATAATCATGGTCGTGGTTGTTATAATCATAGTCATGGTTGTTGTAATAATGGTCGTGGTTGTTATAATCATGGTCGTGCTTGTTATAATCATAGTCGTGTTTATGGTCATAATGTTGGTTGTTATAATCATAGTCGTGGTTGTTATAATTGTATATGGACACGAAGTAGTAACTTAAGCTGTGGGCGGTGCGAAGCGAGTTTCTTGGTCCATCTCTGTATTCATCTCCCGTACGAGAATAAGAACCTATTTTCAAGATAACAAGTGTTTGTGTATACCCTCAGTAGTGTAGAACATTTTGGGGGTACCAAAGACGAACATAGAATAATCATGGTCGGTTATAATCATGGTCGTGGTTGTTATAATCATGGTCGTGGTTATTATATTCATGGTCGTTGTTGTTATAATCATAGTCGTGGTTGTGAGTGTTATAATGAATGTCGTGGTTGTTATAATCATATTCGTGGTTGTTAAAATCGTGGTCATAGTTGTTATAATCATGGTCGTGGTTGTTATAATCATGGTCGTGGTTGTTACAATCATAGTCGTGTTTATGATCATAATGTTGGTTGTTATAATCATAGTCGTGGTTGTTATAATCATGGTGGTGAGTGTTTTATTCATGGTCGTGGTTGTTATAATCATATTCGTGGTTGTTATAATCATGGTCGCGGTTGTTATAATCATGGTCGTGATTGTTATACAGGTTGACAACCCTTTATCCGAAATTACAGAAACCGAAAAGCTCTGAAAACCTTAAGTTTTTTAGGAGCAATTTTTTTTTTTTTGGTAACAGCCCACCTGGCACTGGTCACTGACCCACATCAGGGCCTGGGGGTGAAAATGTAATAGTAATAATAATTATAATAATAATAACAGTAATAATAATATATAGTAATAAAATAGTAAATAAAATTTTAATAAAAAAATACACAAAATAAAATAAGAATAACTAATAATAATAATAATAATAATACTGTAATAATAAAATAATAATAATAATAAAGAAATACAAGAATGAAAAAAAAGATCAAATGAGAAACACGACTTAGATCTATGAATAATAATAATTATTATTATTATTATTATTATTATTATTGTTATTATTATTATTATTATTATTATTATTATTATTATTTAATTATTATTTTATTATTATTATTATTATTATTATTATAGCCCCAGGGTCTCAATGTGGGTCAGTGACCTGTGCCCGGGTGGCTGATCCTGAAAAAAACCTAACCATTCTGAAAACCGAAAATTCCAAAAACCGAAATGCATCTGGTCCCAAGGATTTCGGATAAGGGATTGTCAACCTGTAATCATGGTTGTGGTTGTTATAATCATGGTCGTGGTTGTTATAATCATGGTCGTGGTTGTTATAATCATGTTCGTGGTTTTTATAATCATGGTCGTGGTTGTTATATTCATGGTCGTGGTTGTTATAATCATAGTCGTGGTTGTTATAATTATGGTCATGGTTGTTATAATCATAGTCGTGGCTGTTATAATCATGGTCGTGGTTGTTATAATCATGGTCGTGGTTGTTATAATCATGGTCGGGGTTGTTATAATCATAGTTGTGGTTGTTATAATCATGGTCGTGGTTGTTATAATTATAGTCGGGTTGTTATAATCATGGTCGTGGTTGTTATAATTATAGTGTGGTTATAACCATGGTCGTGATTGTTATAATCATGGTCGTGGTTGTTATAATAATGGTCGTGGTAATTATAATCATGGTCGTGGTTGTTATAATCATGTTCGTGTTTGTTATAATCATAGTCGTGGTTTTTATAACCATGGTCGTGTTTGTTATAATCATAGTCGTGGTTATGATCATAATCGTGGTTGTTATAATCATAGTTGTGGTTGTTATAATCATGGTCGTGGTTGTTATAATTATAGTCGTGGTTGTTATAATCATGGTCGTGGTGTTATAATTATAGTCGTGGTTGTTATAATCATGGTCGTGGTTGTTATAATCATAGTCGTGGTTTTTATAATCATGGTCGTGGTTGTTATCATCATGGTCGTGGTTGTTATAATCATGGTCGTGGTTGTTATAATCATGGTCGTGGTTGTTATAACCATGGTCGTGTTTGTTATAATCATAGTTTTATGATCATAATCGTGGTTGTTATAATCATAGTTGTGGTTGTTATAATCATGGTCGTGGTTGTTATAATTATAGTCGTGGTTGTTATAATCATGGTCGTGGTTGTTATAATAATGGTCGTGGTTATTATAATCATGGTCGGTTTTTATAATCATGGTCATGATTGTAAAATCATGGTCGTGGTTGTTATAATAATGGTCGTGGTTATTATAATCATGGTCGTGGTTTTTATAATCATGGTCATGGTTGTTATAATCATGGTCGTGGTTGTTATAATCATAGTCGTCGTTGTTTTAATCATGGTCGGTTTTTATAATCATGGTCGTGGTTGTTATAATTATAGTCGGTTGTTATAATCATGGTCGTGATTGTTATAATTATAGTCGGTATGATAATCATGGTCTGATTGTTAAAATCATGGTCGTGGTTGTTATAATCGCGGTCGTGGTTTTATAATCATGGTCATGGTTGTTATAATTGCTTCGTGGTTGTTATAATCATAGTCGTCATTGTTTTAATTGGCGGTCGGTTTTTATAATCATATTCGTGGCTGCTATAATCATGGTCGTGTTGTTATAATCATGGTCGTGGTTGTTATAATCATGGTCGTGGTTGTTATAATCATAGTCGTGTTATAA